AATAATAATAATAATAATAATAATGTGCCATCAAGTCAGTTCTGATTTATGGCAACCCTTTTCGTGGCAGATGGTACTCAGAAGTGATTTACCCTTCCCTTCTTCTGGGGACATCCTAGTGCTGTGCAGCTTGCCCAAGGCCACCCAGGCTGGCTCTCAGAAGGGACAGTGGGGAATAGGAAACACTAGCTCTGTAATGGCACCTCTAGTCTTCATGCTTGGTATAAAGGGTATTTAATTATTTATTTTAAATAATTACACAAAGTAGAACCAGGGAGTTAGAGAAATAGGTTTCCTTGATGGATAATTAAAGGTGTGAAGTCTCACAGGTAGAAAGTCACCCTACCTTCGCCCAAATGCCACTTGTGTCCATCAGACCCCTACTGATGTTATTGCACCGGATAGCTCTATGATGCACTATACTAAATAGGTCAGTGATTCAGGCAGAGGTTGGGAGTTCAGTCCCCGACTGCGCCTCCCTAACAGGGGCTAGACTTGATGATCCATAGGGTCCCTTCCAGCTCTACAGTTATTATTACACAGTTTTCACTTAGCTCTTTTTGCTGTTCAATTTAATTACAAACCACCACGTCAATTCTGACTTACGATGACCCTCCCAGGGATAAACTTCTCACAAGTGGCTCACCAGTCCCTCTTTCTGATGGTGTTTTGGGACTGTGCAGCTTGTCCAAGGCAAGGTAAGCCCATCAGCCATATGCATTCCAGGTGGTCTTGTCTGACTCTTTTTCTGGAGGTCCAATGGGGATTAGAATACTTGGCCCCTGTCTTCAGAGACAGGTTCCCTAACATAGTAAATGACACCAGCTCTTCCTTCCTTGTTAAAAAAGGATCCCGAAGTGCCACCATACTAGCAGTATGTGATCTGTGGGTGGGTACGGCCTATAACCAGTGGGGATCTAGGTGTCCTTACAGCTTATGGTGTGGGAACAAAAATTGTTCAAGCTGGGCACTTGACACATTGGACTGCAACCCTTCTTACTCCCAACCTCTACGATGGTTGGAAATGAATGGGTTGTAGTCCAAGGCTTTGGCAAAGCAGACCTGATAAGCATCTTTATAAAACAGCCATAGAAATGTATGTTGGTGGAAGCAAGAATTAAGTTATAGTGACTTGAATATACGTATCAGTATCCACTAAGACTTTGCAAAATCTCCATCAGTTCGTCCATTTCTGATGCCTGCAGATTTTACAATTTTCAGAGAACAGAACTTTTGGCTAAAATGCAGTGACAAAGATTTTATAAGGAAGGATACTAAACACGGGTCCATGAGATCTAGATTTTCCAGTAATGGCTTAACCCCAAACATAATGTCTTCCCAGACATTTCCCATCTGTCTTGCACTTTCAATTATCATACCAAACAGTAATGAAAAACTTATCAAATGAAAAGTAGTAATTCCCTAGGTGGATTCACTAGTGCTGTCATAAACACTGCCTATTATTTTTCTAAGTGAGCTCCCAATGAAAGGTGCCCATCCAGACTTCTTCAGGTACAGAATCCACTTCTTCTTCAAATGCATCTGAGCTTGCCTACCTTTTTCATCAGATCTTTACAACTTCCATGAAATAGTTTAACAACTTATGGTGAATCGTTTGGCACTCATGCACCCCAAAAACTCTATTCCACTGAATTCATTGCCTGTAATGCCACCATGGGGGAAAAAAACAGAAGGAGAAGAACTCTATAACACCCCCAACTTAGAAGATATCTCAGGAGAGCTGACCGTATTTCTGTCTGCACATCAAAATCTGCCCCTTCGTACGCAAAGCTACCCATCCAAACACCGTACCCACAATATCTTAGCAACTTAACAAACTTCAAATGGAGAAATGCCCTAGCAGCTTTAAGATGTCAGTCTATGGCCTCGGCAGTGGCTGAAGGATGATACCATCAAATTCCCCGGGAAGAGAGAACTTGCCCACGTGGCACCATGGAAGCAGAAAATCTAATTCACTACTTAATTAATTGCCCCATATGTGAAGACCTAAGAGCGAACTTGCTCAGAGAGATAGGCCTCCTAACCAACAGATCAGGTGCTTATCAGATAATATTTTTGCTGGGGGATAGAGTACCATGTATAACAGAAAGAGTAGCCTGCTTCACCCTTAGAGCATCAATTTTAAGAAGTAAACAGTGTAGTGATAAGGGCCTGGTCGATTAACTGGATCTAACTTACTTTTAATATTAGTTTTGAATTATATCTAGACGATTAATGCTTCTCTTTTAATTTATTTGCCATGTGTGTTTGCAATGACGAATGCGACACAAATAAACTTGCTTTTCATTTGATATCTCAGGAGGTTAAGAGAAATCTTTTCAAAGCACAGGAAGAGATGCACAAAAACTAAATTCCGTTCTCCTGCTCACAGCCCAACCTGATATGTACGTATTCGGCCATAAATCCCACTCCGTTCAGTTGAGCTTCCTCAGAAGCAAGTGCGGGCAGGATTGAACCTAGCATTAGGAACTGCAGGAGGCACGCAACAATTGCTTCTGTAGGGAACCCGTGGCCTTGGTAGAAGCAAAATGATTCCTCCCGAGAGACACACAAGAATACGAACGCTCCAAAGCACACTCAAGACAAGAGTGGGGATAGTTGTACACTTGAACACACCAGTTTCCCCTTCGACGGCAAGCAGAGAGGGATGCTAGAAGTAACTCTTACAGGCTGACAACATTTTGCATAGCAAACAACATTTTTTATAAATAAACAAACAAGCAAATATTAAATAAATAAACAAATAAATAAATTCTCTTAAAAAAAAAACCTAAAACAGAAAAACCAAACACCAGTGCTACAACACTTACACCAATACAAGTAGCAGTAGCTATGATGCTTTGATGCAAGGTTGAAATTTTTTTTAAATGTCTCTTGTCTTCTCTTCCCCCACCCCCCCATGCCCATCACTTCTACCTCAGAATCATGGATCTGATTTTTCTTACTGAGTGGAAAAGGAAACTCCCCCCCCCCCCCATGCCCATCACTTCCACCTCGGAATCATGGATCTGATTTTTCTCACTGAGTGGAAAAGGAAGCCTGCTCCTGCAATAAAACCCTAGACAAGTGGTTGGCTGGCTACTGCATTTGCTTAACCGACTCTCCTCTCTGGCAATGGAAATATGTCAGTGTGCAGAACGAGAACAGAGAGAGGTGCTCTGAATGAACAGGTTTGCACAATGCCTTCAACAGCACCACGCTCCCTTCTCCCGGCTGCCTTTCTGACACCGTACAAGCAGGCAGCCCCTTCGATTACAGCAAGTAAACCAATAAATAAACCATGCTGATTAATAAGGAGGGCTTTCCTTGCTTCATTCACATGTACAAAATGTGCAGATGTGCGTGTACGGAAATGCACACATGTATTGGTATCTGCACATGTGTGCATGCATACACAGGCAAGGGAAGCAAGATAGGGAAATATAGGTATAGATCCACCCACCCACCCGGGACAGCTCGCCTTACAATACTTAAAGGTGAGAGAAGAACCCAAAAACTAGCAGACTTACCTTATTTTCTCCATCTCTGCCGCAGAGGCCTACAAGAAATCAAAGAAAAAAGGAAGCAAGTGAATGGCAAGGGAGCAGCAGCGTTTCAGCAGGCAGACCTCTGCATAGTAAGCGGCTCCATCCGAAGGCTTCGCGGACTCCCCGCTGGTACCTTGGCCAGCGCCCCCTCCCTCGCCGCCGTCAAGCGCCCCCCCCCCGCCGCCGGGCAGGGCGG